CCTCTTCCGACATCGCTCGCGCGTTTCTCGTCGCCGTTCGACTGACAGGGTCTTAGGTGGAGCAACTTTTGCGGAAAAGTCTTTCACCCACATCTATCAGTCACCGCGCTTTGCACTTCTCGTTTCCAGAAGGCGTGTTCGCGAGGATGCGCTCGACCCAATCTGTACCGTTTGCGTACATAAACAGGCTATTAAAATTCGCCAAAAATACTTTTGCTCAAACAGCGCGTCACGTCTTCGCGCTCGCCAAACGTGTTTATTTGACGTTTCGAATACGATCGGAGAATTTAACATGGTGAAATTCACGAGAAGAAGAGAGTCTTTTCTCACAAGCTAAAATGCATGTCGAATGCGTTGATATTCCAGACGTTTTGGGTAATAATTGGCGAGAACACATTATTATCGTGCGATAGATTGCAAAACGGTTAAGTCACAATGCGAGGATGGGGGCTCACTGAACTGTCAAAATTGAAAATCATTACCGACGAACTCATGCAATAATAATTTAAATAATAATATAACTATTGGGCAAGTTCGTTAAAGAGAATAATGATTTTCAATTGGCCGTAGTTTGCGAGAATTCACCTTTCCAAGAGCGTATACCTTAAAAAATACAAATCATTATAAACCGACTATTTAAACTGCTTCAAAGAATTACTTTTGCAACGGAATGATATATCAATGGAAATAATAAATATTCATATTCACAGTATGAATATTCATTTAGTCTATTATTAATTTGCACAATAAAGCCTGCGAATATTTCCCGCCATGACTCGCCGACTCTCATCGGCATTGAGGACCACGTTTCTTCTAAGGATCAAGCGATACGTTGATACATCTACCTCTCATTATCGCTCGCCCCCGATCGTATCTTTTCATTTTCCTCCTCCTTTACCCTCCTTCCCTCCACACATATACACACACACACACACTCACACATCCTGCTGTTAGCTATTATTTCTATTATCTTTATTACCTGGATTCGACCGTACGGAACATGTATGCGTTGATAGATCTACCTAATTGTTCAGACACCACTCGTCGATGTTTAATAAGACTGTTAATGAGCCCAGCTCACGTGAAACATGGTTTTTGTCGGCATAATAAAGCAGGCTCAATCAGGTTCTCGCACGTGCATCGATTAAAGAGTGTTGTATCACTTTTACTATCAACATCCGGATACGTCAGCACAATAGCAACAGGCACAACACAATAACTCGGGTCGAGTCACAAGTAATTTCCTTCTTCTTTTCATTTCCACAAGTGCTCAGGAAAAATAAATACACGCTATTCATCCGAGACTCTATCTACCTCACAACTCTATCCAACAGATAGAAATGGTAAAAATCGATTCTTGTAACAATTATTATCTGTATCAATTGTGTCATTCATTATCTTGTCAAGATACACATCAGAGAAACCTTTGAGCTATCTGTCCGATTTTACGATTTATCTAAACTTATAAAAAGCGTTACAATTTAAACAAATGAGCAAATAGCAAGTCTTTCCGTGTGTCGAAAGGACTATCTTTTCTTTTAAAATTTCCGATCTTTTGAAAAATTCGCGATGGATTTTCTTCCGTGCCAAAATAATTTAAGTATATAAAAAAAAAAAACAATATGGGTGGCCCACATATAAATCTGATTGTGTCAATCTAATTCAATAGTAAAATATGTATAATATAACAACTAATTATGTAGTTGCTGCTACTACAGAGCAGTTATTGAGTTGCTGACGTTGCAGCAGTGACGATATCTGGTTGCTCTAACTAAAGTGTATCCATAGTGAAAGTCACCCCAACCGATTTCTGGTTGCCACAATCAGACCTGAGTCATATCATTCATACACAATCACTATCACACAAAGATAATTAGAGTGGTACAGCTATACTGCTTATAACTGCTTATATTGCTTATAACTAAATAATTCTAGTATCTTTTTTCCGTATAATATTCACTTAAAACTAATATATTTATAATATAAATTAAAAGTTATTATTTCATATATAAGCAACGATATAATTTTGTTAGAAGAATTTTTAAGTCTTGCATTCCAACAAGGTTAAAATTTTATTTGAACATTATAACAGTCTCATGAGAACTACAATATGCTTATTTAGAAGATAATGATATCTTTTTTTCCGTCATTTGAAAATATATTTTTAATTCAACATTTCGTGTTTCCTATTCATGAAAATTATGTTTGAATAATAATAATATATCTCTGTTGTTATTAAACCATATATAGAACGATGCGAATAATTCATTTTCGTTTAACGCTATGTAATCTCATTTTAAGATGCACACGTTAAGAAATAAACATCTTTTCAAAACAAGAATGTTTTCTTTTTTCTCTGTGTGCTTATGTTTCGAGCAACCGATGGCTGGAGATAAGAAACTTCGAGCGTCGCGAAATTCGTCAATTCGACGTGTCTATTTCGCTTGCGCACGTTTGCTGATTATTAAATCACAGGCAGATCGACTTCAAACGCGAAGCGTAACACCTGCTGCCGCGTGTTTCCCGATTTCGACAGATATATCGAGAGAGTCTCGGCTCGGCCTTTTCATGCCTGGCAGATAATTTCCGGAGTAGCGATAGACCGAAAAACCTGTCAGGAATACCGTATGTACCGAGCTGCCAAGAGGCATTTCAAGTCGCGTCGCGCGAATGTCAATTTGACCGACTTGTAATCTATGCGCGGCGTGAGAGACGTGCGAAGATGCATGAGGAGTACGAGCAGAGCGGCTGTCGCGTTGTTGGAGAAGAGGTCTTTCGCGGGCGGAACAACGACGCGATGGAAAGAATTTACAGCCTCCCGCGAATAATATACGGCGTTCACAGGCGAGGATTTTAAATACCGTTAGAAGTAGTGCCAATATTTCTCCCTATTCTCTCCTCTGGCTTTCACTGTGATGCAACGTCCGATGACCGCGTACGCGCGCTATTACGAGCTTTCTTTCGAACGCGACGCGCGTGCAATGCAGCAGTTTCGTCGGGGACAAGAATGTCCGGAGAGATAAAGCGCTTCCGACGCGTCTTACACTCGCTGCCCAGACGACGACGACGACGACGACGACGACGACGACGATGTTAAAGCGCGCGTGAGCACGGAAAGTCAATTTAGGTCGACGGAACGTAAGATCGTAGTTTCACAGACAACAATGAACATTAAATTAATAAGTATGCCGCGCGTAACAAAATGTTCTTCCTCTCCTCCGTCATTTTTACTTCTTCCGTGACATCGAGATATGTAAGATAAAAGTACCAATTCCCGGATACATACCTAATTCTGGTTATTCTTACTATTTTGGTCTTTAAATACGAATATTTAAACTTTTATATATATATATACTACTGTGTCCAAAAAGTAAGGTGACATTGCATTTATTTCGAAAATTCTTTATTTATTCTTGCAAATCAATTTCGTCCCCTTCAAAGTAATCCCCCCCTGATATAATACACTTATTCCAACGGATTTTCCAATCTTCGAAACAGTTGTAATAATCGATTTCAGGAATGGCCTTTAG